CCTGCAATCGCATCCGAAGTCAAGGGCAGCATGGTCTGCTGATCTGGACGTGAGAATGAGGTCTCTGATGTATCTAGCGTGGGACCTGAAGATGGTTTGAGGATCCCGCTAGTAGGTTTGATAGGTCTAGCATTGAATCTCTGGTTATCAGATAGGGCACTGTCATCGACGTGTGCTGGTTTGAGACGGTCAATGCTGACGATCTCGACGCGGCCATGTCGATCAACATTGAAGGTCTTTTCGTGACGAGCGATCACGTGAGAAGGGCCTTCGTAAGTTTGTTGAAAAGGTTTGCGTACCGAATCTACTCGTATGAAAACATGTGAACAGGTAGATAACTCTCGAGGGAGAGCGACCTGTCGATGTTGTATACGAGTTGACACCGGAGACAGCGTTCGCATAAATGCAGACAGTCGATGGAAGTAGTCTGATTTACCGAAATTAGGTCTGCTCCGTGGTGTGAAGAATTCCCCAGGCAGACGCAATGTCGTGACGTATACAAGTTCAGCGGCGGAACATTGGATATCTGCCTTCAAGCTTGTTCTGACACCTAAGAAGACGAGTGGTAAGGTTTCGTACCAACTGTCATTTTCGTGTGCTCGAAGAGCAGTTTTAAGTTGGCGATGAAACCGTTCAACTAAACCATTAGAAGCTGGATGGTAGGCGGTAGTGCGTATGCGTTCCGTACCAAGCAGCCGGGTCAGTGAGAATAGTTATTTGGGGAAATTTCTCGAATAAAGTGTGGAATATATCGTCACGCAAATGAAAGACACCTAAGATTTGGTACGCGTACATCGGAGTCTATTATATTAATACTGTTCTTATCGTTATCCGTCATGTCGAATATATTATATATTGAAAAATATTAATATGAAAATATACGACAGACGTGGATAGATAAGTAATAGACTCACCGCAATTGGCTTCTTTGGAAGATTTGACCAGAGGTTGAGAAATGTTCGTACTTTTGGGTTCACCAACTGTAGCGTGGAGTCGAGTTGCGATTGACTATGAACACCACTACAAGAAGACTACGTGCCAGTTAGCCGATAAAATCCCCCGTAAGCCAAATATCAGGAGGCAGTTGATGGCTGTAGTCGAGATTTATTTGTTGGCGATCTCGTGGTTTCGAAAAGATACCGCGATCGTGCCAAAGGAATACAAGCGTGGTTACCGGGTGTAACCGAACCCGTGCAAGGTCACAATCGAAAGATAAAGGAGCAGTAATAGGGCTGTCTTTAGCACAGTTAAACAAACGAGCACAGTAAAACAATCACTGGTACAATTGGTTATATTAATGATTGTTTCCATTAAATCAATCGCGTTCTCTTGATAAAAGTAGGTCACTACAATTCAATCAAAGTAGATTTTGCTTTCAAAGTCGTCTACAAATCAAGTAGAAAGCTGTCAATGGCAATTATATTTCGCATTCCTAGTATTGCCGATGCACTAGCTATACACCTTGAAGAATCGGAATCACTTGTCTGAAACAATCTGGTACAAACCCTTCCCCTATTATGGTCTTAATCTCTCGCAATGCTTTTTTTCTTTTATAATCTCTCACTACCATCTGCTTCCCTTCTATCTTCTCCATGGACCTTCCACCCCCAGCTGATTTGTTTCTGTTTCTATGATCCTCCAGATTACAGTTACTCACAATTTCAACATCTTATCTTATCCCGCTGAGCCTTTCCTTCCGAATTATAATCTCCTTATCTATCTGCTTGATGAATATTCATGTCCCAGAGTGAACATCAACTCTGAGATGCAGATACATCCAGCTGATTATTAGTTTCCTCGTTAAAACTAACGTTTTAATGCCTTCGTTTATGCATCCTTACTGTTACCATGTTTAGCAGAATCCAATTATCGTTATTACTGTGATTATTATCATTTTGAAAAAGAAGTGTATATTCTCGATTGTAAAGCTCTGAAAATGAATTCTCCGAAGAGTAAACTCTTGGCTTGTATATAAACCAGGTATGTTTCAAATATATGATTCATACAGTGGAAGCTGTTCTGGTGTTCTGAACTCAACAGGCAGGGCTAAACGGGAAAAGGATCAATAAGGACGCTAGGTTACTCGTCCCGGTCAATACATCACTGTTGTGGCACAGTGTTAAGATTGTTTTAGTCGTATTATGATTGGCTACCTTATCAAGTGATATATTAATCGATCATAAGTCATTACAGAAAGTACTATTAATAGAACACACAAGTTATGACATACTTTATTTCTCAAACTTGTGAAACAAAACAAAAGAAATGAAATAAATGTTAACTGTGAACATCGTTCATTTGAAATGCATGTATCAACTTGTAACAGCAAATTCTAAAAAGCCACATAAAACTGATTGGTAATTACTTGTTTACATGACTGAGATATCGGTCATAAGTTCAGCGTAATTTTTCACTCTGAGAATTCCATATTGCACTAATCACATAATGTTGAATAAAGCGATTATTATTATTATCATTATTATTATTATTATTATTATTATTATTATTATTATTATTATTATTATTGTGAATTAACATTAAAGCTTTGATAACGTTATATTCTGTACAAGAAGAAAGAAATTATAACCTGAAAAAAAATATTGAAATGTGTATGCTGGTAATATTACTCATTAGATGTTTATTTGTTTTCAGTTAACAATAAAGTAACTATAATGTGACTGGATTATTTCATTTGGAAATGAATTCACGAGGTAATGCTGTTAGTTAGAAGGAATATACAATAAATAATGTTTAAAATATTGAAGCGTATAAATCATTTCTATTATTCTGTGAGCATTAAAATCAATACAGTTAATGTGTAAAATTGTTAGTGGCAACAAATGATAAACATTTCAGTCAGAGAATAGTTTGTTCGAATACAAAAGAATAGTAGTCTAAGTTGTTTGATTCCATTACTAGATATTTAATACTGTTTCAGTGTTCAGTAAAATTTCAAGTAAAAATATATGAGTGAGTCACTTTCATCACACAATGATCTGTATTAAAGAGGTTTCATTTCATTCTAAATTTTAGAACCTAATTATAATCAAATTATATTGTAGAATAATTTCCTGTTTGACCTCCATTCATTCAGATTACTCAGAATAAACTTGTCCCTAACTCTTCAATACAATTTTTCTAATCTCCATTTTAGAGCGAACTATTGTTATTCATTTGAGTTCCGAAAAACTGATATATTCATTTACCACCAGTTAAGCATCAACAAATAAAGAGGTTTCAGTGTCAAATAACATCAATACTGTACCTCCCGTACTAATACATCGATTTTCGCATTTTTAATAAATTCAGTGTCTCTGACTAGTTGAAGTAATTGTTGGATTCGTTAGTAAATATTAATAATCCCACCAAAAATTTAATCACTTAACACTTATGACCAAAATACTGACATAATTAGAATGAACTTCATGCAAATTTTAGAAAATAATTATAATGGAAGTTGACAGAAACTACATTTCACGGCGTTATTAGTTCTCTATTATGTTGTAATGAAGACAGGTCAACAGGTTAGCAGGCCACATAATAGATTTCGATCCTCTCAATCAATTCTTCCATTTAGACACTAGTATCTATAATTGAAAACCACTGAATGAGGTGAGTGATTTCAAATATACAGAACACATTCAGTAGGGTTTATCGTCTATGCACCAGTGTTTGTCGATTCATGATGTATATCCAGATACTTGATGTGTCCTAATATCCAGTCGTTAACTAACATTGATGTTTCATTACACTTGATGATTAGAATTATCATTAAAATCAATCATGAAACAAAGTCCTTGTTAAGAAGACTTTCAAAATTATGAATGCGTTTAGTCATTGTGTTGCAAATCAAGTTTACATAAATGAACTCGGGTTTCTCTGAACGTCAATCGAGAGAAATAAAGTGATTTTAATTTTAAAAATATTTGATAGAAGTAACACGATCCGTTAGGGTGAGAATGAAACAAAAGAAGACAATAAGTAAGAGTCTGTTATTCACCGTGATCTGTCTCTGTTGTCATATGTGTATTGTAATCGGAAAGCTTTGATGTACCGTTAAGTCACAGATCTTAGTATGTTTGTTTCTTGACTAGAAGTCATGAATATCAGCAACCGGAAATGAGAAAGTCTCATCAATACATTTACACCTGTTGAATAAATCGAAGCATGTCTAGATTCAGTGGCTCAGTGGATAATGAGTTTGAGTTTGAAGTGAAAGGTTCAGGATTTTAGTGCTAGTCTATATGAATGGTAGATCCAGGTGACGAGTCCCAAATAATATGAAATATATGTTCTGAATTCAGCTGCTAGCCACATACCAAATGCAGTAAGAAAATCATTCTAAACAAAATTTGATATTGATTCTTTTCTCCTTTCGACACCTACATGTCTTGTAGTATATAATCATAATTTTCATGTTCTAAGAAGCTTGAAAAGTTATGAGGACTCTATGATGATGACGGGACGCAAAATGTTTGAGCGTTACTTTTCCAGAGAAACAAATGATAAGGTTCGAACAGGTAGGTAAATGAATTTTTTTCCGCTAAAGTTTATGCTGATAATGGATTATTTTTAGAAAAAAGAGCAATTGTAAGTTCAATTCGTATCTTTCATTCTGCAATACCAAACCCATATGTTTTGGAAACTAAAAGAATAAGGAATTCTCATTTGTGTTTTGTTGAACTGTACCTGTTTTGTGAAGTTGACTATATTTTGATTACTTCAAATACTAGTTGTTACTTTGAATTACACAATCATTTCCATTGATGTTATTGTAGTAAAAATTTGACCCTTGTGAATGGCCTAGTTGGAATTATTTCTGTGAGAATTTCTCAGAAAAACAATAATCCTTTAAATGCATTTTAGAGCGTGTTTATTTAAATTTTATTCCAACCAATGAGACAGTCAAATTCCTAATGACCAATTAGGTTATACAAATAGTTGCTATATAAATATACTCATCCATCAGTATGGTTTATTTAATTATACTGAACAGAACTGTGGAAATGAAGATTCTTGCAGTAAGTTAGGTTTATTATTATTTATACGACTGAAACCTTCACGTAATACAATTCATCATATTTTTCTGATATATTTCTGTCCAATTTTTCAACAATGCAAATGAAGTCAGTGATATCATGTTAATCTAATTGTATACGGTAACAATTAGTATCAATACAAATTGAATTGGAATTACGTGAAGTCATGAAACGTGAGGAATTGATACTCCACCCAATATAATGTTATAAATACGTAATTTTTATCATTCGTAGAATCAAATTATTTGATCGCTGTCGTTTCCTTACTAAATCCGTTTAAATTCCTTCTTAGGTTTTCGGTATTATGTTAACTTATTTCTGTGCAGTAACGTTCGGAGCTGAAAGTCTTCACCGATGTAACAAAGATTTTGAGGCAACGATGGAATTTTGTTTCAAACAGAACAAACGTAATTCACGTGAGTGTTGGTAACAGATTATAATGAACTGCAATGTCAATACTTATCATCAATTCACAATGTCCAATGATGAACTTATTGTTTTGTCAACGCATTTTTATGCAAGATTTGTTAATTTGAAAGTGTTAGCTAAACAATATTGTGCATGACAATGAGCATGTGTTTGATTCACTTTCAAGTGACTAGTTTCTAATTGTAATAATTTCGGTAAATTAAGTTGGAGTTGTCATGTAGCTAGGAGTAAAACACTCTATCTCATCACCCTACAGTGAACATAGAGAGTTTCAAAACTGTTATACAACCTAGAGTTTACTACTTGATGCATTATTTATTCTGACTATATTTTGTATGAACAACAATCCATAATAGTGTGTAAATGTACTGACGATCATAACTTTGAGCGTATTAACACATGTGGTCAATGTGAATCTTAAAATTCTCTGCATATACCTATTACATGCAACTACTTTTCCACAAATATATCCTTGAAGCAATTATAGATATAGTTAATTTTAAAATTAAATTGAATTTCATAATTAAGTACATGTGAATGTCCATCATCATCCACTTCAAGAAAAGTTTACTGATACCATACACCATTAACGTCCCATTGTGATTATCACTATCATAACAACAATAATGTCATGTGTGAATGAACGTTTATTAAAAATTATTCGAAGTCCTATACTACTGAAATGATTTCTCAGTCTTATCATTGCGTATATGAAGACATGTCGGTTGAAATAATTTTTGATCTGTTAATTTAACTGTTCATTACCGAAATTGTGTTATCTTGATTATTTCATAACTTTGTTAGTTTTCCTAAGCGGAGTTCTATCGAACTAATCACTGTCATATAGATGATTCTTTATGCAAGTTAACTAATCTCTGTTCCAGAAGATTATTTAAATCACATTTACATCATGATTGAAATCCATTCAATGTAACCATTACTTTATACATGAAACAACATGATGGAAACGAATAACAGAATTCGTTATGTAAGGATTTGTTATTCTTATTCGGAGGTCATTTTTATTTATCCGTATGGTTTATATCATGTCTTTTGAAACGCCATTGTTTGTCTGTTTTTGTTTAGACACGTTCACGGACTTAAAGAGTTTGAGAAATGCTTGCATGGATGATATATTTTGCAAACCTAAAGCAAAGAATTGTCTTTTATCTGAACTTCAAGGTTCGGCATTCAGTAACTGTCCTTTACAAAGAACCTATATAAAATCAATAGATCGTATGTTCAGATAAACTTCTGGTCATCTCTTAGTCTATTATTTGAATTTGTAATATACAGATAAATAAAGTCTTTATTTTATCAACTATGGTTTTTCTAAACAACAATTGCGGGTGATAAATTATAAACAATGGCTTCACCAAATTTTAGTGAAATAAAGCTGGGTTAATGGTTAATCATTTTTAGAAATTTCAGGTTATCTATTTGATGCATTCCTTAAAATAAATGTCTAAAAGTCTGGCTACTAAGCGCTTGATGTTCAACCCAAACTTTATTGGACATGTTTAATGAATCTTAATCGGCTCTTTTTTCTGTTTCAATTAGTGTAACTGATTTAGCAGTTGCATGTAAATCTTTGCATACCTGTCGAACATGACTATATCAGTGCCCATACTGATTCATGAAAGATGTCTAACGTAACTGCGTAATAGGTCTCAAGTAGTGTGGCACTTCAAGTTCTCTTGACTGTCCACACAACATAGTTTTAAAAAAGATATAAGCGACATCTAACTCGCTAAAGATAAACATGTATCTTGTGATTGAATGACGATACATACAGGTTAGCAAATGAAGTAAATACTGAAAATGTTAATCAGTCAGCTTATGTGTCTATGGTGAATAATTCCGATTTTAGAGCAAAGACCGTCAAACATAATAATTCAACTTTTGTATCTAGTATGCTTTAGACCTTCACCGAGTACTGGAAATTATTTATTTTACACACAATACATCCTATTCAGCTGTAAAAGAGATAGTGAGAATAGTGCCGGTTATGCAGTCCCATTATGTAATCTTATGCTTATTCAGTTTCCTTAATTTAATTGAAAAATAATCCTGTGTTTTTGTCTGTTGTGTAAAATGAATGGTGCTGTTGGTTGAGTGGTAGAATAAAATTGGATTTTCAACAAAAATCAAGTGTATCAAATAAACTCTAAAAGTCGAACGTCAATGGATGTATCGTTGTATGCTGCTAAACAATGATTATACTCGTAGTTAAAAAGTAATAAAGTTCACATACTTGAATAATTATCTCAGAAATCTGAAAATGCTTTAACTTATATTGTTTGAGTATTGAGAAGTATTTAACGTCTAATTAAGATGAGTAAATCACACAAGAGTTAGTTCTGATTAGTAGATTGTCCTAAAACATACTGTTTGTCAAGTTAACTTACCGTCAAGATCTCTTCACAGTTATACTCACTTGAAACCGGTGTTCTCATAATTCACTTACTAATTTTTATTATCAAGTAATACAAAGTAGGAAGTAAAAACTAATCATTTATTAACGAGTGACAACTGGGCCATTGTGATAATGTACATGAAAACAATGATATATTTGATAACAGGTTACTGAAATTCAAGTGAATTGCAATTAACCAAACACAGTTCTATTTATCATCTTGAGCATAGCATGAAAAAGATTTGAGAACAATAACAACAATTCATTTTGTATTATCTGGTCCTCATCAGCTGCTTAAAACCTGTAACATTTGAGAATGATAATTACAAAATCGGTTTAGATTACTTGGATGAAAATGTCTAGTTAAAAGTTACTTTAAAGACTTATTAGTATAGTATAGCAAAGGTATGAATACATTTAACAAACTGAATAAAATATTGTAAATGTATATCTCATATAAAAAACATTCTACAACATTCATAATAATAAACGACCTAAGGGATAGAAACAAGTGGTTACGGAAGCAGTAAACACTGAGAACAAGTAAGAATAAAATGAGTCAAGCCCAATTAATTGATATAAGTCCAATAATCGAGAAGACTGTCAAAACAAAACGATACATTCATGTGATTAATTACATTAAAGAGTTGAGCAGAATTTTTTGGTGTAATGGAGGAATATTCATCACGAAAGTAAAGAAAGACTAACAACCATCTCCTCTTGAACACATTAATCAGGCGTATAACACCTGATATCAGTGGCCTCGGCAAACTTCGGAAAACCGGAAACTGGGTGTTTATTAATCACCTTGAAATATTGTAAGCGGTTGGTTGAACTGATGTCCTATATCCAACAGATGTTTAGTAATCGCACTGTTTAATTTTGTTCTCTCTCTTGTTTGAAAGCTTTTCGGAACATATTCGAAAGATCTAAGATATGTCCTCCATACGACTAATCAGCTAGTGCAGCTATTATGGCAGATACTCGTAAATTTATAAACACAGTTGGAAGTAACATTACCTTATAACTAACTAGAGAAAAACTATTGAAATCCAGGTAAAAACTATTTCAAGTACTTTCTGGTAAACCAAACATTACACCGTCCCATCTTCCGTTCGTTGTATTGCAATTTTAGAAAATTGCGACATGTCATTGTTTTGGTGTTCCACAGTAAATTGTGTGTTGGGACGAGTACTGTTAAAGAGTGCTGACAAGTGGATTGATTGCATAGTGTTTATTATGGTTGGCAATAAACGTGTCATCAACACGCTTAGAGTATTTCGGCATTTCGTTAATTGCCTGTTTAAACTCCATGTTTTCAAGGCAATCCTTAAAAATATCCACTATAATTTGACCTAATGGAGCCGATAAATACTCACCTCGATAAGTCCGACACCTTGACTATATATCACAGTTCACAAGCGATATCCGACATGTCAAAGGTCAGGACAATCAGGCAGCAGATGCTTTATCCAGACTAGAAATAAACGTGTTACAGCAGTCTACAGTAAACTTCGAGACGTTGAGACACGAACAAGAGCAGGATCTTACTTACTTACGCCTGTTACTCCTCGTGAAGGAGCATAGGCCGCTCACCAGCATTCTCCATCCAACCCTGTCCTGGGCAATCCTTTCCAGCTCCTTCCAGTTGTTATTCATCCTTTTCATATCTGCTTCTATTTCCCGACGTAATGTGTTCTTTGGCCTTCTTATTTTCCGCTTCCCTTCAGGATTCCAAGTTAAGGCTTGCCTCATGATGCAGTTTGACGATTTGCGTAATGTACATCCTATCCATTTCCATCGTCTTTTCCTTATTTCTTCTTCAGCTGGAAGCTGGTTTGTTCTCTCCCACAAAAGGCTGTTGCTGATGGTATCCGGCCAATGGATGTTGAGTATCTTGCGTAGACAGCTATTTATAGATACTTTTACCTCCTTGATGGTGGTTGTAGTAGGTCTCCAAGTTTAAAGTTCCGTACGGTAGAACTGACTTGACGTTCGTATTGAAGATTCTCACTTTGATATTGGTTGAAAGTTGTTTTGAGTATTTTGAGGCCTACTGATGCAGAAACTGCTGCGATAGGAGGGCTAGGTCATCTGCGAAGTCCAAATCGTCTAATTGATTCTGAGCTGTCCATTGTATGCCGTGTTTTCCCTCAGATGTCGAGGTCTTCATAATCCAGTCGAACACCAGAAGAAAGAGGAAGGGGGAGATTAGACAGACTTGTTTGACTCGGATCCTTACTTGGAATGCATCTGACAGCTGTCCTCCATGCCCAACCTTGCACTGTAGTCCGTCGTATGAGTTCCGGATAATGTCGACAATCTTCTGAGGAACTCCGTAGTGTCGAAGAAATTTCCATGAAGTCCTCCTATCCACACTGTCAAATGCCTTTTCATAATCAATGAAGCTGATGTACAGTGTTGAGTTCCACTCAACTGATTGTTTGACGATGATCCGTAGTGTCGCAATTCGGTCTGTGCACGACCGATCCTTATGAATCCAGCATTTTGATATCGAAGTTGGACGTCTACTGCGTCTTTCATCCGGTTCAGCAACACTCTGTTGAAGACTTTCCCTGGTATTGACAGTAGTGTAATGCCTCTGTAGTTTTCACATTTGCTCAGATGTCGTTTCTTTGGAATCTTGATGAGGTGTCCTTCTTTCCAGTCCATCAGTACTTGTTCCTCCTCCCAAATCTTCTTAAATAGAAGGTGAAGCATGTTTGTAGTTACTTCGATGTCTGACTTCAGAGCTCCAGCTGGTATGTTGTCGAGTCCTACTGCTTTCCCGTTCTTGATCTGTCTGATGGCCATTCTGATTTCTTCCTTCGTTGGTGGATTGACATCTATAGGAAGATCTGTGTGTGTGCTGCTTCGACCTCCGGTGGATTCATTGGAGCCGGCCTATTCAGGAGTTCCTCGAAGTATTCTACTCATCTGTTCCGCTGTTGTTAAATTTCAGTGATTGGCTTGCCTTCTTTGTCCTTGACCGGTCTCTCTGGTTTACTGTATTTCCATGCTAGTTTCTTCGTTGTATCGTAAAGCTGCTTCATATTTCCTTCTCTTGCAGCTTTATTCACTATCGCTGCTAGGTCATTCACGTATTTCTGCTTGTCGGTTCTAATGTCCCTCTTTACTTGTTTGTTTGCTTCTATGTATTCAGCTTGTGCTTGGACTTTCTCTGCTCGTGTTCGGCTGTTGTTAATTGCTGTCTTCTTGTTCTTCTTTCTTTGATCTTGTCCAGTGTTTCTGTAGAGATCCATTCCTTATGATGGTATTTCTTTAGACCCAGAACGTCCTGACACGTTGAAGTTGATGCTTCTTTGATGCCTTTCCAGTTGTCCTCCATAGTAGCTTTTTCTTTCAGTAGATCCTGTGAGGCTTGGAATCTGTTGTTGAGAGCTATCTTGAATTCATTGAGGGTGTCAGTATCTCGAAGGAAGGCTATATCGAACATTTGTAATGCTGTTCCTTAGTTTTCCAGTGTTTCTTTAGCTTCAGGTTTAAATTGGCCATAACTAGGTGGTGATCTGAAGCTACGTCAGCTCTTCTCCTGGTTCTCACATCTTCCAATGTAATTCGAAATTTTTTATTGATAAAAATATAATCTACTTGATTCTCTGTGGTGTGGTCCGGTGAGATCCATGTAGCTTTGTGTATGCGTTTTTGTCGGAATATTGTGCTACCAATAACCAATTTGTTGAATGCACATACATTTGCGAATATCTCCCCATTCTAGTTTCTCTCTCCCAGTCCATGTCGTCCC